TTTTATCGCAACCCCGCCGGGTTGCCCAGTTTTACCCCTGCCAGGGTTGCCCCCACCAGGGTTGCCCCCGCCAGGGTTGCCGCCGAGTTAGGGTTGCCCTTGGCAGGGTTGCCCCGCCAGGGTTGCCCCCGCCAGGGTGACATTGCCCTCGCCGGGTTGCCCTGTCAGGGTTCCGCGCCTCCTCACGTCGCCTACTCAGGAATTGTGCACCTGTCAAAGTTCTCTATTAATTAATTGCCAGGGTTTCCCATTAGTAGTCACCCCCGCCAGGGCCCTGCCAGGGTTGCCCCCGCCAAGGTTGACATATATATATATAGAGAGAGAGAGAGAGAGAGAGAGAGAGAGAAACTTACTGGCCCAAAACCCAAGGAAACAAAAGTTGGAACTTTCAGAATAAACCTTATAGGAAGCCCAAAGTTGAAAAGTTGGGTTTTGAGCCAGTAAGGAAATAAGAAAGTGTTTTTAATACAAAAAAACCTCGCCTTGCCCCTTCCAGGGTTGCCCGTGCCAGGTTTGCCCCCGCCAGGGTCGCCCCCGCAGTTGCCCCCGTCAGGGCCCTTGCGCCAGCGGGTGGCCGGGCCTTCCGCGCTTGGCCCTCGCCTTTCTGCCATATGAATGAGCTTGGGTCCGGAATTGGGCTTGAGGGTGTCTTAAACACAGTATGGGTGAAACAGATTGTCCCGCTCCCTGTTGATCCAGGAAAGTGTAGGCTCAAGCAACAGCAGCAGTCAACACGTCCCACCCCGGCCAGCGGGGAGACTCGAGGTGTTGATAGGGGGGCCGTGGAGGGTAGACCGCTCTAAACCCGAAAAAGGCGGCAGTTTGGGTGGCTGGGGTGGGATCCGCTGCACCGAGGCGGCCCGACCCGCCACCACTGGCGCGGGTCGGGACCGCGGCACTTTGGAACACCCTAAACCCTAAACCCTAAACCCTAAACCCTCAGAAGGTCATGCCTGGTTGAAGAACTTGGCCGTGAAGCTGATGCCGAACTTCGTGGGAAGCTGGGCGATGCCGCGCCTTTTCATCGTGGGACTAGAGGCCCCCATACAAATGCTTTAGGGTTTCCAGGGTTTAGGGTTTATAGGGTTTCTAGGGTTTAGGGTTTATAGGCTTTCTAGGGTTTATAAAAGGGTTTCTAGGGTTTAGGGTTTATAGGGTTGATAGGGTTGATAGGGTTGATAGGGTTGACAGGGGTTGATAGGGGATGATAGAGTTGATGGGGTTGAGAGTTTTGATAGGGTTGATAGGGTTGATTGGGGTTGATAGGGGATGATAGAGTTGATAGAGTTGATGGGGTTGATAGGGTTGATAGGGTTGATAGGGTTGATAGGGTTTATAGGGTTTATAGAGCTTGCAAAGGTTTATAAGGGTGCATGAGGGTTCGTAAGGTTTGTAGGGCTTAGAAGGGCTTGCAGGACTGGAGGCCCCTATATAAATGCTTTAGGGTTTATCGCGGTTATGCGTTCGTCTTAGGGCTTACAAGGGTTTATAGGGTGCCTAGACGAGCGTTCTTGACAGGATTACAAGACAGGCGCTGGAGCCCACGTAACCCCTCATTGAGACAAAAACACCGTGCCCGAAGCCCAAACCCTAGACAGAACTCATTCACAGCCACCTGTTCGGGTACCCGAGAGTTTAGGGTTCAGGGGTTTAGGGTTTGGGGTTAAGGCAAGGGGTACCTGGGGGGGGTGGGGGGGTGGGGAGAGGCCGCAAGCACACCCCAAACCGTAACCCCAAGCCCACAACCCGAAACCCTAACCCAAACTCCCCAAACTCCCCAAACCCCCAAAACCCAAACCCCCAAACCCCCAAACTCCCTAAACCCTAAACCCTAAACCCCAAACCCCTAAACCCCAAACTCCCTAAACCCTAAACCCGAAACCCCTAAACCCCTAAACCCCAAACCCTAAACCCCAAACCCTAAACCCCAAACTCCCCAAACTCCCTAAACCCTAAACCCCAAACCCCTAAACCCCAACTTCCCCAAACTCCCTAAACCCCAAAACCCCAAAACCCCAAAACACATCCCACAGACCCTCGGAGCCCCGGCTTGACCCAACGGTTGTTGCGGTTGAACCTCGGGGCTGAAAAAAAGAGAGTGCAGTTTAGGGTTTAGGGTTTAGGGTTTAGGGTTTAGGGTTTAGGGTTTAGGGTTTAGGGTTTAGGGTTTAGTTTTTGGGTGCCTTTTTTTGGGGGGGATTAGGGTTCCCGGGTTTAGGGTTTAGGGGTTACGGTTTAGGGTTGGGGGATTGGGATGTTGGTGTTTTTTTGGTGATCTTATTAGGGGATTTTAGGGTTTGGGGTGTTGAAGGCCTTGGGGATCTTATGGCTTGGGGCAGTAGGGTCGAGGGCACATGCCGCGGGAGCTATTTTCAACACTCGCCTGGCGCCTCGTTATGTGCGGGCCCCTACAGCATCTGGACCTCGTGGAATACGCCGCCCCTAAACCCTAAACCCTAAACCCTAAACCCTAAACCCTATAACCCCTAAACCCGAAACCCTAAACTCTAAACCGCGCACCGGCATCAAAAGCAAACATGCTCTGCGAGGCCTAAACTCTCAACACTGCAAACCCCTGAAACCTAAACCTCCCTAAGCCCTAAGCCCTAAAGCCCTAAAGCCCTAAGCCCTAAGCCCTAAACCCTAAGCCCTAAGCCCTAAGCCCTAAACCCTAAACCCTAAACCCTAAACCCTAAACCCTAAGCCCTAAACCCTAAACCCTTGGTAAAGACATTGAGACAAGGAACTCCTCGATCTCCTTCGTTCGGCGTTCTAACTCGCTGCTGCTGCTGAGCTCATGCCACATCCTTCCACCGTTTGAGGGGGTTTAGGGTTTAGGGTTTAGGGTTTACCTAGATCACCCGTTTATATGTTTATTTTTGCGTGCTTGGAATTCCGCGGGTGAGGCTAGACAAGCCCGGAAAACGCGGGGCATCTAAATTTAAGCAGGTGATGCTTCGGGTGAACATACTTGGGAAAGGTTCAGGAGTATGCAAGCTCTTTGCTCTCCAAAGATGCCTCTTCGAAAACTACAACAACGCCCGAACCTCCCAGGAAACTAGGTGTGTTATATACGTACTCCCCCCTCCCCTGCCCTGGCGCGCTGGACCTGGTGGAGAATGGCTGCCCTGGAGTGCAGCGAACTCAGCTTTTTCCTACCCAAACTCACGGGCCCACTGTTTGTGGTAAAGGACTAAGGAAATCCGCATGGTTCGGATGGCCACATTGACATTCGAAGTTCTCCGGCTGATACGACTGACCTTTCCAATATAATCTTCATCCTGCCAGCAGCTCATACCTAAGCTGTTGCCTATCACAACATCCTTCATTTGCGTAATGGGTTGATTGTACGCATCATAGCTAGTCCAAGTTTCATCGGGGGTTCCAAATCTTTATCTGGCCATTTTCGATTTGACGACTCAGGTCTCTCCTTAGGGTTTCACTTCTATTGTGTTTATAACCTGGGTAGATTTCAAGAAACTTCTGTTTCTAAAACTAGGCCGAGCTTCTGAATGTGCATTTGCATGTGTAGCTTCGGTTTGACTCTGAACAGACACCACCGACGTAGGGCCGTGGCTGACGCCAGTGCACCGAATCCCTCCTGAGTACACTGCTCATACTGTGCGTGCGAAGTCTGTACTTCATCAGCGCGGAACCCCCCCCCCCCCAGCTACCACTTGCAGCCAAAGTGCAACCATGGCCCAACCGTGCTCTGCTATTGGTATGGCATCTTCCCTCGGAATCCACATAGCATGGGCGTGCAGCCCACGGAAGAACGCGTTGGTTTTTGAGAACGTCCATTGGAGGAGCTCGTACAGCTCCCGATCGTTGGCATCCTATGCGTGATCAGTCTTGCCCGAGCATGTTTCTGTACACAGAACTCAAAAAATTTGGCAATGAATGAGCTCTACTGCATAGTTTAGGGTTTCTAAGGTTTACAGGGTTTAGGGTTTATAGGGTTTAGAGTTTAGGAAAAGCCAAGCCAAATCTGCACAGGGTCCAGCATGTCGTCTCGTCCCGGTTGGCTTAACAGGTCGTCCAGCCATTCGCAAAGCAATATTGTATCAAAACCTTTGCCCACACCCTTTGGGAAATTCTGCAACCTTAGCTGCCTAGCTGATGGGTCCCTCGGCTGAGCTCAGACCAACCCTCTCAGACTCTACTTGCTACTGTTGTGGAACAGTCTAAGTCAGGTCAGGGGCGTCTTCATCTTGAATTTCAGCAGCGAGAACCCTTCGAGGCTGGACGATTTGCTGTTGGCCCGACACCATTGCGCGAATTCATCATATAAGGCATCTAGCCTGATCTGTGTAGATCGGCCTGGAACAACACCTAGCCTCGCAAGTAGAATCACCCCAGAGGTCGCCATTCCGGAACCGAGTCCCTGAATAGCGAACGTGTGAGCAGGATCTGTACGGATTCGCCAAGGGTCATCTGCTCCCGGAATGTTTCGGAGAGGGCTCACCTCATCTTTCCAGGGCTCATCAGCAGGGTCATCTCTTGTCCAAGTACGTATGGAAGATGTCGTAGAAGAATTATGCCAGTCCTGTCAGGTTTGTTTGTTAACTGGTTTTAGGTATGAGACAGGAAGCTGAAAACACCAAAACCCACAATCGTCTAAAACAAACTCTTTGAACAACAGTCCTGCTGCTGACACATATGGCAAAGCCTCTTGCTGGAGAATCCAGTTTCAAGGCAAAATGCCTTTCGAAGCCAGACCCAGTCTCCTTTACAGCCCAGCCAGGCCATATGGAAATGATGGGTTTCTCCGTCGCAGCTAACCTTAGGGGCAATGGGAAGTTTCGGGCAGTCTCTGTGAGACAGTCGTGCGTGTGAGGCACATCCAGACCATCATGGAAAAGCGAAAGACAGTCATCCGCAAGGTGCTCGAGCAATCGGAAGATGGTAGTGTCACCATTGTAACAGCGAGATGGTATGACAGTGTAGAGAAGACGTGAGCAAAAGGAGTGCCTCAGGTAGGTCAGCTTCCGAAAAAACTGTCACGCAGAAAAAGCATCTTGACAGAAACAATTAGATGTGTGCGGAATGAAATTGCTCAACATTGCGACCTGCAACCCACTCTCATTGAGCCGGTGCTTTCCCAGATGTGAGAACAGCCCCTGGAAGCTCAGAACCATGATAGGCTGCCGATACCGTCCACGACCTTCATCGCCGTGAAGGAAGTATGGCAGCGTTGTTGCTCTGTTTAAGCCATCCCGGAACACCGGGTGGGTGCTGTCCACACGTTCGTACAAATCCCAGAACTCCTTCAGGTCTTGTTGCCAACTGTGGACTTGGGAGATGTGGTGGCCTTGTAGCAGTAGCTGTCCCCCCGCTTCCATGATATAGCGTACCCAGCTGGAAAGCTTCATAATGGGCCACGGAAGTTCTCTTACCCTTCGAGTTCGGGCGTGGCGAAAGCTGATGATTGCATGCTGGATTTCCACTTGAAGTGAGAAGTCAGAGTGGGCAAGGAGACGATGTAAGTTTCGACAGATGTTGCTGTCGGAAGAATTCGCACACTTGGCAAGCCGTTGCAGCACTGTATCACGGCGCCCTGCCAGGGGTCAAACTACAACTAGGTTTAAAGACACGATGCTTCGTGGGCCTTGTTTTACCAACTTCTTGTGCACTTTCCGGGCGAGGCGACATGTTCTGGCAGCTGAGTCAGCCTAGGTTTGGGGATGCTCAATCGAAGCACGTCTCATGTTTCTACGGCCCCAGATTTGACAAGGAACACCACTTGCAAGACCCGCCAGGAGCTCCTCCACGAAGCCATCGGAATCGTCGTCGTCCTGCGCTCCAGGACCTCAGAAGTTTCAATTTTTGTATTACTGCTATTCACTCAAAGGCTGCGGGGAGATGGATTTACATATGTCATATGCCAAGTCGTACTTCAGGACCCTGCTGGCATCAAAGCATTCCACGTCATGACCTGCGCGGGGGAAGGCTCTAAAGATACATATTCGCGGCTTGCTTGGTTTCTAGCACTTGCAGTGGCAGGCACCAGGTGTAACAAAAGCTAGCCCACAAAAGATTTATGAAGCCTTTTTTCAGCCCCTGCACCAAAAGCTTTCGCGGCAGCACTTCAATGCCACGATAAAGCGCAGCTGTCGTACACACATCTGACCATCTAGCTTGCTTTCACCCGTTTCTTCGGCTTGGCCGGTGGCTTGTTGGAAGGAGCTCGAGCTCGCTTGGCCTGGGGCTTCTGGGGTTGCGCCTTGGTCTTAGCTGCAGATTTCGGGCTTGCGGTGGAGCCAGCGCCCTTGTTGACACTCCTGGGCTGGTAAAGGTTGCTTATCAGTTTCTTACTAGACATCCACACTCTAGCAAGATGGCTATACAAGACATTGCAGCAGCAGCTCTTTGCACGCACAATGTAGTTGTTCAGGGCCAGATCGCTTTTCGTGCATTGGATGAATAACTCGAGGGCTTCCGACTTGTACCTTCGGGCCAAGAATGACTTGACGCTCCCTCTAGAGGTGTCTCCTCCCGCCATTCCCCCCAAGAAAATTAAGGGTGCTTCGCAGACCCCTGGAGGCACCCTTGAAAACCTGTAAACTCTAAACCCTACAAACCTCTGTAGATATATTTTCAGTCCTCAAACCTTGTAACCCTAAAAAGCCCATATGAACACTAAACCCTTAGTAAACACAAAACCCTGTATGAACCCAAAAACCCTTTTAAACCCTACTACATAAACCAACCCTGTATCAACCCTATAGATGTACCTCCGGATGTCCACGTCCTTGTCGGCCGTTGCTACATTTGCCTGCAGGGTCACCAACTTCTTGTAGTGAGCGTTCATCTCACTCAGGCACTTCCCCACATCTGAGGCAATCCTGAGAGATAAGGCGTACATGGTTTTGATGTGTTTAGGATTGAGGGTTTAAGGGTTATATAGGGTTTAGGCTTTATAATAAGGTTTATAGCTTTTATAGAGTTTAGGGAAGTTTAGGGTTACTCGTGAGGACAAGATGCTCAAGCGCTTTGGCGCCGCCCTTCTTCTTCAGCTTTTCCTTTTCCGGGGCTCTCATAGTAAATGTAGTTTAGAGGCCACACAGGCATCAAGGAAGCAAACAGATCCTGTAGCCCCAGACCCGTACTCCTGCTCAAGCTCACCCGCGTCAATCTTCTTTCCCAGCACACCAATGTAGTTTGGGAGGAGGCCAAAAGGGGAGGAATTCTGCTGTAGGGTAGGAAAGCACATCCTTGGCTAAACAAGATGAAAAAGACCGAGGATCTATTAAATGCAATCGTGAACCGGAATTTCACATATTGAATCCCTCCCTTCCTCTCTCTCTCGTAGTACTCCTAGCTCACTGTTGAAGTTTCAAGAATGGGCTTGCAATCCAGTTTCTTAAACGAAGCTCCCGCCTGAGCTGCAGCCTGGGCATCATTCGCCTGTGTACCCTGTCCACTTGATGGCACCCCGAGGTCAGCATTCTGCACATCCAGCAGAGCACCGTTGGGATCCTAGTGAAATGCAAAGCTGGGGGAAGAGGATGTGTAGAGACAATCGCAGAACATGACATGGTAGTTAAGTTCCCAAGATGTAGCACAGGCACATCCATGCTGAAACCACTCTGGAAGCCGATCTTGCTTCCCGATTCGTTCGACTTTGACCATGACATGTCGAGCGGGATGTCCGCAGTCTCAGCACCGTGTACCTCTGACTTGGTTACCAGCCCACGCTGCCTGGCCCACTCGAAGGCATTGTCTGCCATGGTCCTTATGGGTAACAATTTGGGTCCGGAACCTGGGAAACTGCTGGACTCTTAAACCCCCAGAGGCTGAGCTTCCAGAACATGCCAACAAGACGCTTCGTGTAGTGGCGCTCAGCAATGAGATACTCCTTTGTGACTTGCCCTCCGCTTTCCTTTGATTTGGTTTTTTGCTCATGCCATCGCTCCAGAACCCCTTCGATCTTTGCAAAGCTGCCATGCTCTAGCAGGAGCTTGCGAAGGTCTTCACCTCAACACAACATGTTCGATCGGATGTACACGCACCCCGGGTGTTAAACTCTAGCAGCTATGTAGACAAGATTCGGCCTTCCTTTGTTTTCCCCATCTCCAGGACTCTAGGACTGCATTTCACCTCGCCCTTGGAGTTGGGGTTGAAGTGACGGCGTACCCTCAGCGTTGTTCGATATCTGGGCTAGGAAGATGTGAGCTGTTGGCCATTGAAGGATCTCTTTTACAAACCTTATATAGCTTCAGTGTTGTCTAGCCAAGCAGCTTCCAGTATCCTTCAGGCTTTGGGGTCTGGGCAAGCTTCGCTTGCTTTGGCTTTGGGCCAGGATGGGAACCAAACAGCTGTTTTCTGATGTTTGGCGGAGTGGTGCTTGGGTGCCTTTGGCAGGCGCCGGGTGAGCCTCGCGGGGTCTGGCTTTCGGTCGAGCTGTTGCCTGTCTTGGGGAGTGGAGGCGAGTCCGCAAGATCGATCACCGGATGGGGCTCGCGGGGGTGTTTTGGGGTCTCAACCACCTGTGTCTCATCCAGAGCATCTTTGGGGGCATTCGGGCTTCGGCCGTCTGGCTGAGCCACAGCAAGCGCTGCCTTCTGGTCGCCGGGCATAAAGTGACCACTGCTCGTTGCGATGGAAGGAGCACCTACACAAGAAAGAAGACATGGGCCCAGGGAGTTCCAGACTGGGTGAGAGTGGTAAACTTCTAGAAAGCATTATGTGCCTGGCACCATGGGTGGAATAGGCTGCGCTTGCGAACAGCTGAGCATATTCTGAAGATTCGCGATGTTGGCCTGTGCTTCCTTTGCTATGGGGCAGGTAATGATAACAAAGGCAGTCAAGCAGAAGCAGCACACAGCAGTAAACCACAACTGCAGGCAGCCGGCTCTGATCTTTTCATCAAGATCTTCATCCCCAGGCAAACTTCCAGACATGTTCGACCAAGACCGAGCTACCGCCAGAAGGCCGTCGTTGAGGGTTTCAAGCGAGGCCATGTAGTTAGTTTATATCTAGCTGGCTGAGCATTGCCTGATCACTCCACACAGTCCATGCGCAGGCAGGCCAGCACTAGCCAACTTCCAGGCCTGAACCCTTAAGAAACGACGACAACATGTTTGCAGGCTTTTTCTCTGGAACAGACTCCTCGGCAGCTTCCGGACTCTATCTAAAGCATTCCGAGCATGGCCCAGGGAAGCTCCAGGCAAAGCAGAAGAGAAACAAAAAAACGCATGAGAAACCCCAAAAACGCGCGTGACAAAACCCTCCACAAACGGATTTTTAAATTGCGCCAGAGTTGCGGGAAATTGCGCGGGAGTTGCGGGAAATTGCGCGTGAGTTGCGCTCCCCCTGCCCCCCCCCAGACCCGGAAAAACCAAAAAACGCTTGTGGCCCCCCAAAAGCGCGGGCGATGGATTCCAACCCTAAAATATCTTTGCTCCCCTGGTCCCTGCTCAGCCCACTGTCCTAGCCCCCAAGCCGGCTCTGAACAAAACCTAGACTGGCACCTTGGCACACACGAGGTACTATGACTCATTCCAGAAGCAGCCGAACGCCCGGGGCTTGGTTGGCTAGGGCACTACTCAGACGCCCTCTGTGTCGCGACCAGATCATTGTACTCCTCTCTCAAGTTGGGATAGCAGTTGACCTTGGTTGGGCTGCATACTCCGTACACATTCTAAGTTTCACGCCAGGTCTGGATTGGGTTTCTTTTGGAGACACACTAATGCAAAACGGGCTTGATTAGTCCAAGCTTCGTGTTCATCCAACTCTCGATCAAAGGCTTGAATGGTAGCTTCCCACGAGTCCGGGACCACTAGGTATCGGTTGCGCCGCAAATAAAAGTATACCGATGCCACACCAGCATCTTCCCATGCGTCGCTCAACGGCATACTTTGAAATAGTTCAAGGTCTGTCATGGTAGGATTGGTGAGGTTCTTGTTGCGCAAATGCCCTTTGGATTTCTGGGCACTTTCATGTGTGAAGACCTTGAATAGCTGCCGCACAAAGCCCATGGGGTAGACCCTTAGGAAGCTAGTGCGCAAACCAAGGACACTATTCCAGCCAACAATTTCAATATCAAACCTCCCCAAAACATACAAGCTTAACCCAGGCACCCAGCTTGCTTCAGGTCACGTGTTCCAGAATAGCGCTTGACACCGGAGCCGTCCTTGTACCGTCCTTGGCGAAGTCTTAGTTAGTTGCTGGGTTTAGCCAGGGGTTATAGGGTTTTTATATATAGGGTTTACATTGGGGTTTAGAAGGGGTTAGGGCGCAATTATAGCAAAGTCTAGATAGTTATTGGGGTCTAGGGTTTATAGGTTTGTGTAAGGGTTGTATAATAGAGTTTACAGTCTATAAGGGTTTAGGGCGCAATCTTATATGCAGCTAGCGTTCGCGCAGTCTGCAGCTTAGTCTTGGGCTTGCTCTGGGATTTCGGTAGTATTCCACGGTCCAAGGTCTTCACCAATGGAGAATTAGAGAATATCATTGTGCGTTTTGGTGAGCAGCTTCCCCAATGCATAAGCCAGAAGCTCTGTCTGTATACCTTAGATGACAGTGTAGCCACCACCCCACATGACACTCGGCCTTTCCGACCTGCGTAGCTTATACGGACAAGCTGCGTATGCTACGGAATTGCAAAGCCATTCGAACCGGTCGTGCCTGTAGATCAATGATGTACTCGGGTGCTCCAGCAACCATATCGTATGCTTGGCCATCATGACAAGGATTCCCAGGACGACCCTTAGCTGCAGAGCAGTCTAGACGATGGATGCGTAGGAACGATGACAGCTTTGTTGCAGCTAGAGGTCCGGCTTATCATCTTGTTTGCAGATGACACACTTGGATGAGATTGCTGGCCCATGGCATTGATGAAATTTCTTCGGCTGGTACCTCTGTTCGGAAGCCCCCAAGACGCGCAATTTGGCCCCATCAGGTTCACGGCCGTAACCTTTTCGCATAAAATACACCACAGAACCAACCTCAGACAAGCTGGGCTCCGTTTTTGTCTCAAACGGTGACAAGAGCTCATTGAACACAGGTCAAGCCGCGAAAAACCTGCATCAGAGAGGAAGTCCATGCAGGCCCCGCTCTGGATTTCGATTGTAGCAACTCTGCGGTTTTGCGACTTCCTAAGTGGTGCATAGGACTGGTTCTAGAAGTGTTTAGGATTGGGCATTTTACAGACACGGTGGCTACGAGGGTTCTATCTGATCACCCAGGCACCAATGTTTGCTAGCGTTGCCAACCCCTGAAAAGAGGTCCAGGAGGTCAAAGGACTTGCCCGTTGGGAGGTTTGTTGACCACAGCAGAAGCAGTGTGATCGCGATCAGCACCTGAGCACGCGGGAGTGTTGGTTTTTATCGTATCCCAGTACAATCAGTGGTCTGACAACATGTACTGCTGCTAAAAAGCCTTGGGCGCGCCAACATGAATGAGCCGAACAAGTAGGGATGAGTCTGGCAACATTGCAGGCCCCATTGCGCACCAGCCCAACTCAAAGCTGTAGCCTAGAGAACCTGCAAGACAACCCTATATGTAGGAACCTCTATAAGGCCTCCAAACCCCTGGGCACTTACAAACAGCCCAAGCATGTTCTGCTGAGCATGTGCGACAATCACACTTGAACCCCCTCACCATACAAAGCAGCGACCATCAACATACTCTGGCACCAACACAGTGTAGCGTAGGGCCACGGGGTGAGCCTCTTTCCGCAGCACGGCGAGCCCACGCCATGGTCTCTTCACCTGCGCAGCAAGACATACTGTAGCCCTTGCCCCTGAGCGTTTCCACTTGCGGATTGTTCAGCTTCATACACCATTCTGCTCTGGCAAAGCGTGACAG